TATATATATATGTGTGTGTGTGTGTGTTATTTATATATATATAATATTAGATTACAATCAGATTTTGGATCACCAATTTTCCTCTGAATTCTGAATTTTTCATCATTGTCCGACCTGAAATGATCACTTTTAGCCAGGCTAACATTTTGTCACACCAGGGGCGTCGCTATTATTTCAAAAGTGACAAATGTCAAATACAATAATTTTATGTATGTATGTATTATAATTTTTTTTCCCCAACTCTCTCTCTCGCGCTCTCTCTCGCTCTCTCTCTTTCTCTCTCTCTGTCTCTCTCTCTCGCGCTCTCTCTCTCTCTTTTGCTCGCTCGCGCACACACACACACGATGCGCAAAACTCCGCATTTGAACAGTCAATAGCAAATACTTAAACTAATAACAAAACAGTAGCTGATTCAGAAGCGCCAGATTGTCATAGCAAAGTCTACTGTACTGGATGTCAAGTAAACTTTCATAGGTGATGAGTCTGACATTTGAGAAATCGCGATTCATTCGATTCTTAGCGTTTTAAATCGATTACTGTCCGAACTCGGCGATTCAATTCACGATTCAAAAATCCATGTTTCAAGATCGATGCATTGCATCGTCAGGGTTTGTAATCGATGCATCGAGAAAACGAGTGAATTGTTACACCCCCACTTTTAGGTGATGTAAGTAAAATATGTGACTTCCTCCAAGTGATATGAGCCATAGGAGCAAGAGTGATTAATATTATTTCATATTATATTTATTTCATAATATTTTTAATATTATTTCAGTTCTTGATTTTAGAAATGTTGAAGGCCATTACTGATTTACGTTAACCCCTTCTTGTAGTCTTTCAGTCTGTTGTATTGAGTCATGAGCTGTATGAGCAGATAGTTGCTCCAAAATGTTTGAAAATGTCAAATCTGACAAATGAGCATCTTTGTCATCATAGGTTCTAAAGTGCTCCTCTGTGATGTTCACCGAGAGAAGGCATGGATGGAGTGGATAAGAAAAAAGGACAATGGTGTGACATCTCAGGAAGAGGTTCTTAAACTTCTACAGGCCATTGCAGATTCTCAGACGAATGAGGAGTTTGAGAACAACACTGTTACCCTTCAACAACATCCAGACTGGCAGGCAAATGAGAAGCTGAGAATGTTCGTCAGCACATGGCTTGTTCATGCAGAGGTGAGTATGTTATTCTGTTGTCAGTTCTGTTATTATCAGTAATGTTGAGAGTGTGAAAACTAATATGACGCAAGTAATGCTCTATTATTTCCTGAACTAGAGCTGGGTGAGCGTGTTCGGAAATGAGAACCTGAATGTAGCTGCCTTCAAAAATAAAGGTGTTGAAAGACAAAAGGATGTCCTGAAGCATTCACACCTAAAGGGACACAGAAACTGCAGTCTCAGCGAAACACTAGTAGTCATTATGAGCAACTTCCTGCCAAGATCGTATCAAAAGTAAGAACTGGACTAAACCTAAACCTTAAAAAAGTAATAAAATAATACATTTTGCTAAATGAAAGTGAAGCCTTTTTTTGGATAGTGACATATAAAAAAAAATCATCAAAAATGTGAGAAAATATTTTTTATTAGAAAACATTATTAAATATATTAATGATTTTAATTATTATTATTTTTAAGTATTAAATCATCACAGTAATAAATGAAAAAAATACAGTAATGTTTTACTGCAATATACATGCATGCATAGAGAATGATATATGTGTGTGTGTGTGTATGTCTACATATAGAAAAACTACTTCACTTTAGCATTACTGGCCACGAGTACTAAGGAGAAATCACACATCAGCTGCTCAAAAAATATGTCCGTGAGACGATCCTGTGACAGTAGATAAATAGTGGAGCGCGTGAAGGAGAGATGCGAGGCACGAACACTGAATATAATATATTAGTATATATAATAATATATTAGTATAATGAATAACAATGTATAATATTATATATAGTATACTATATTATATATATATATATATATATATTATATATACTATATTAGCTATAAAGGAATATTAGCAATATATTAGCTATAATGTGACCTGGACATGTTTTTGTGAGATTCATTTAATGCTTAGGAAACTGAACATGAACTGGACTAACTAAACTAACTTTTTTTTCCCATATACAGGTATGTTGAATTGAATATCAAATGCTCAAGTGGCTCACGCAAATACAGCACAAATGTGCCTTGTTATGCAGGATACAGACCAAGAATTATGACTCAACACATTATGAAAAGGCACCAAGAGTCGCTGCTCTTCAATGCGAGTGACATAACATCTGCTGGAGAGAACGTCTTCAATGTTCAGAGTCAAACGTCACAGGAAAAACATCAGGTGAACTTTGGAAAAGACAATGAGATGCCTTCATGTACATGCATGGACTGGCGGAGACATCTTCTCCCGTGCCAGCATTTCTGTGCTGTTTTTACCTTAGTTCCTGGCTGGAGTTGGGAGAATCTGAGCGCTGCGTACAGGAAGAACCCTCTCTTCATGTTTGACAAGGTTTGCCTGGGACAATCTGCTACACTTCCTACTGATCTTCAAGGCGAAGAGGCTCCGAAGAATCAGGAGAATGATATTAGTCCAGAGAGATGTCAGTCTCCTGCTGCTCCCTCAGAGCCCATCCTGACCAATCCTACAGCAGAAAAAAGGGAGAAGTGCTGTAGCTTGTTGAAGGAGATATCAGAATTGACATGCCACATACAGGATGGGACCTTTCTAGATTCAGTAACTGATCGCCTTACGGATCTGTTAGAAGATATAAGGCGACACACTCCCCATGATGACATCCTTGACCTTTCCTACGCCCCACCATCCAAGAAAATGCATCTGCAGAGCACCCAGAATCAATTAACGCAATCCCCCAAAGATGCTCTGTATCTGGAAAAGTTCATGAGGGCAACCCCTACAAGTGACTTTTGAACTACATTTTAAAGGGTTAGTTCACCCAAAAATGTCGTTTCAAACCCATAAGACCTTCGTTCATCTTCGGAACACAAATTAAGATATTTTTGATGGAATCTGAACAGCAACGCAACTGAAATGTTGCCAAAATAATCCATGTGACATCAGGGGTTCAACCGTAATTTTACAAAGCTACGAGAATACTTTTGTGCGCAAAAGAGAAAAAAAACGACTTTATTCAACAATTCTGTTCTGTGTCAGCTGCGTCACGCTGGATCTGTTTCCTACGTTTTTTTTTGTGATTTGATCTGAACGAAAACAGCATATCCGTGTGATGCAGCTGACACAGAACAGCATACCTTGTTTATGTCTAGTGGATATTCCCCAAAATGGCGTTACAGGGTGACGCGGAGGAAACGAATTGTTGAATAAAGTCAAGAAGAATAAATAATTTTTTTTTCTTTTGCGCACAAAAAGTATTCTCGTAGCTTCGTAAAATTACGGTTGAACCCCTGATGTCACATGGATTATTTTACCGATCTCCTTGCTACGTTTCTGGACTTGGGAACATTTCAGTTGTATTGCTGTCTATGCAGGGTCAGACAGCTCTCAGATTCCATCAAAACTATCTTAATTTGTGTTCCGAAGATGAACGAAGGTCTTACGGGTTTAGAACGACATGAGGATGAGTAATTAATGACAAGAATTTTCATTTTTGGGTGAACTAACCCTTTAAGTGAAATGATCGAGGTTATGAGAGCTCTCTTCATGCCAGCATTGGCACAAGAGTCAGCTGTGTAATCGATTGTACTAACTGTCACATAGTGAATGTATTTGTGGCCATATACCAAGAGAGGAAGCTGTCCACATAATTTCACAAGCTAAATGGTAATTAGTGAGAGAGAGAGAGAGTGAGAGAGAGAGTAATATGC